AGAAAGTTCATTGCTCATCCTCATGTGACCTTCCCAAGAAACAAAACTGCAGGCCCAAACTCTTAGTTTTAAAAGTTTTCTCTTTCTACCCATTTGCAAAGCAAGTATTATCCTTCCAGCATCCCAAGATGCTTCATTTTTTGTGCATTTTAATGGAGAAAAATCTCAGCTGCTACCTTTGTTTAACCAATGCCCCATCTTCTTTACTGGATCTCCAATTTAACATGGTCCAGAAAGGAATTTTATGGGCAAATATTTTGGCTTGTTTCCATTCAGAAAGCTTCCCTGTTGATTGGACATTGATGAACGGAAATCCAAAGTCCCCAGCCAATTCCCTCACCCCCAACCTGACTTCGGAGGTTTGCTGGCTCCATGTCAAACTGATTACTGATGACAGGCAATTAGCCATCACGCCTTGTTTATAGGCTGGTGAGCCCATCCACCCTGCAGGGCCAGACACAAGTCTGCCCCTTCTCTTCCCCACTGGATATCTCCTTTGTCATTCGGGTCTCAGCCTAGATGTTCCTTGGTGCTGGCAATTTCTTTGACACCTCGTTCTGCTCAGGCTCAGAGAACCCTGCAGTGTTCTCCAGTAGGGCCTGCATTAAGTTTCCTAGGGCTGCATGGCTGGGTAGCTTAAACAACAGGAATTTACTGTCTCAAAGTTCTGGAAGCCAGAAGTCTGAAATCTGGGTGTTGGCAGGGAAGAGTCCTTCTGAGGGCTGTTCCTGGCCTCTCCCCTTGGCTTGTGGATGGCCATCTTTTTGTGCCTTGACATCATCTTCTGTTCCTCTGTGTCCAAATCTCCCCTCTCATAAGGAAACAGACGAGTTAGATCAGGCACCACCCTAAAGGACACGTTAGCTTGATTACCTCTGTGAAGACTTTCTCCTGATAAAGTCACGTTTCCGAGGTATGGGGAGTTAGGACTTTGACATATGAATTTGAAGGGGACACAATTCAACCCATAACAGGGCTCTATCACTTTATACCAATCATAAGATATTAACTGGCCCCATTTGTCTTCCACCCCCCTCACTGAGGGCAGGGACAGTGTCTGATTCTCCCTTCCATTCCCGGTGCCTGTCATAGGCTAGGTAGTCAATTCTGTCCATGACTTCACACGCCTCACCCCCCTGCTCCTCCTTTTCTTCATTTTGTAATGTCCCTTGCTACTGACAGCACAAGCCCCGGTGGCCACAGGGATTCCTAAACTTCCCAGAACTGGAGTAGGTTGGAGTGGTGTTCAGAGCCTGCCTGCTGGTTGTGGCGCTGCTTTAATGACCTAGACACATCCTTCCCATCTGCCTCACCCTCCAGGGAGCTGCCACCACTGGGAATGCATGTCCCTCCTTGGCAGAACATGCATCAAGCTAATTCTCCAGCTCCATTTCTGCATCTAACCGGTGGTTCCAGGAACCCAGCCATGCACTCTAATGGGGCCTTGTCATTAGAGGCTTGGCAAATGTTCACACTCTGGGGCTCCCCAAAGCCCAGGAGAGCTGGCCAAGGAACTGAGAGGCACCAAGGCCATTTTCAAAAGCAAAGGGCAGCAGGCTCATAGTCGGACATTTTTTAAAACCTGCATTTATTTAGTAAATAATGTATGTTAATGCAACATACGCTATATTATGCAATAATTATGGAAACAATCTGATCCTGTTATCCCAGATTTCACTGGTCCTTCGCAGCTGCTCAACAGGAATCCCACAGCCTCCTCCAGCAGGGCATTCTCCTTGGGTCTGTGAAAGGGCTGCAAATGTTGGAGGTCAGCCCCTCCACCCCACAACGCTGTCACTTGCTCAGCTGCCTGTCCTCCTCACCATTCCTTCCTTCTCACGCCAAACCACCCACACATCGCCATCTTCCAGAGATGCCCTTCACACCTGCAAGATTTCCCTGACCTTATCGGCCTATAGTCATCTCCAGACTTGTCAAACCACCTCATTCCATTGCCATTCTGGCCCTAATTGACATATGAGAGACCATTGCAACTCATCTGTTTCCCAGGCCAATCTCCAAAGTAGATCACAGAGTCACAGAGGCCCTGCTCTCTGCCCTTTCCCTCCAGGGCACCAGGATAGTGCTAGCCACTGAGTCAGAATTATTCCAACTTCAGTTGACTAAAGTCTACTGTTAGATCATATGTGTGTTTGCTGGGCCTGGGGGCAGGGGTGGGGGTGTGTGATGCAGGGAGAAGGTGATTTACTGCAAAGGGAACTTTCTCAGGTGATGGAAATGTTCCAGTTCTTGACTGAGGTGATGGTCATTTGGATGTATACGCTTTTCTATACCCACCAAACTGTACGATTACAATCTGTATTTTATTGCCTGTAAATTATACCTCAAAAAAGTTTATTTGAGAACAACAACAACAAAAACTAATGTCAACATTACAGCACATAGAACCAGGTTTCCTTCGTGGTTTGGCAACTTTGAGGCTCTAATCACATCCTCTAGATATCTGTCCTAATAACCAATTATTGTGACATAGCTGGCCCATGATACTTGTTAGAATATGGATTTGTAGATATAGCACATTAGTATCAATTCGAGAGAATGCTTTGGAGGCTGTACTATCAGGAAAATTTTGTCTTCACAACAGATCATGAAGATTCACATAAGTTGAAAGGAGCTCAAAGCCAGTGCCAGGAGCCTGGCTTCATGACTGACAAGGTTTGGGGTCTTGGCAGCATGCTTACCCTCTCCAGTTCTTTCTCTTAGCTATAAAGGGAGTCTTCAAATTGCCTAATCTGTGACATACCTTTTAACTCTACAATTCACTAGCTAAGCTGCACTATTCCTTTGTAATGACAAAGACACTAAACTGCTGGAAATCTGGGTCCTGGGGGCACCCTTCATAACCCTTCCATCCCTTGGAATGGCCATCCCTTCCATGGGCTCACTCCTGCCTCCTGACCTTAGCTGAGCTCTTTTTCCATCTCTTAGCTTCCCCTGCATTCTTTTCTAGTCAAGACTCTTTCCCACCTGCTTCCCTATTATTCCAGCAACTCAGAGATAGGAAGTTCTTTGTAGGTAATGTAGAACCACCAGCTTTTCAAGTGAACTACCTTCTTTACAGCAAGAACTCATGCTTACTGGGCACGTACCAATACTGAGGGCTTTATGGGATTCATATCATTTAGTCCCCACAAATTACTCTGAGGTAAGTTTTATCCTCATTCTCATTTTGCAATTAAAGAAACTGAGCCATAAAAAAGTTAAAACTACAGTATGATTCCAACTATGTGGCATCCTGGAAAAGGCAAAACCATGGACATGGTATGAAGACTAATGGTTGCTAGGGGTGGTGAGGAGGAAGGAGGGAAAGAATAGGGGGAGCACAGATGATTTTTAGGACTGTGAAAATACTCTGTATAATATGATAATGATGAATTTCCATAGAATGAGTATCACCCAAGAGTAAATCCTGTGGTAAACTACAGACCTTGGGTGATTATGATGTGTCAAATTATGCTGTGTCAAAAGGGTCATCAGTTGTGATAAATGTACTGCTCTCATGTGGGATATTGATATGGGGGAGGTTATGCATGTTGGGGGCAGGAGGTATGTGGGAAATCTCTGTACCTTCCTCTCAATTTTGCCGTGAACCTAAAACTTCTGTAAAAATAAAGTCTTTAAGTTTTCAAAAAGTTAAAGGGACTTATCCAAGCTTACTCATGTCCTGTATGGTGCAGCAGGGGTGTGAACTAAGGCACTCAGAACCTGTGTACTTGACCATGATGCTATTCTGCTTCCCTAAAACTCAAGATACTAGAGGAAGTTTGCTAATGCTACGTTGTCCTTTCTTTCTTTCTCTCTCTTTCTTTCTTTCTTTTTTTAATGTTTATGTACTCCGAGCAAGGAAGGGGCAGAGAGAGAGGGAGAGAGAAGAGGAGAGAAAGAATACAGAGAAAATCCCAAGCAGGCTCTGCACTGCCAGCACAGAGCCTGATGTGGGGCTTGAACCCACAAACCAGGAGATCATGATCTGAGTCGAAATCAAGAGTCGGATGCCCAACAGATTGAGCCACACAAGCACCCCTCCTTTCTTTATTAAGAAGAAATACCCAAGAGTGCACTGTATACACTGTATGTTAGCTAACTTGACAATAAATTATATTTTTTTTTAAAAGAAGAAATGCAACTTAATATGACAACCAAGAAAGAAACACTTCTAATACAAAATTGGTGGTCGGATGACCCCCAACTCTTTTTTGGATGACTTTGCCTGAAGTCTTATGATTGTTAGGAAGTCAACTCTAGAGAACAGTTAATATTGAAATTGGAATTGTTGAAGAGGAAAAGTGAGTGGTGATCAAGGCAGAACCCCCACACCTCAATGTAATCCCCACAAACATCAGAGCCATAGAAACTTCCTAGGAGATTGACTAGGCAAACTTAAAGACTGATTAGCCCTAATTTGAAACAACTGCAGACAGACATTTCTTAAATTATGTCTTTCTGAGCGTAGTGTTTGGGGAGACATTAATATGCATTCTATGAAGGAGAATTCAAGGTCAAATGAGTTTAAGAAATACTGAGTGAAATCCGAACACATCTACTTACTAAAGTGCTTTCCAGAGTTTTTATGTCAAGTGAATTATGAATCTCCAAAATGTAGTTTGCCATGTTTCTATTGACCATGAGAGGTTGATGTTGGTAGCAGTGGTGGTATGTATGCGTCGTGGGGGAGAAGGAGGGAGTAGGTGGTGGTTTTTACCGAATGTTTGTTAACATCTTGAGGAAAACCACAAAACAAGGTTTGGAGAAAATACTGCCACAGTGGGTTAAAGATAGGCTGAAAACGCAGACAAATTAATATGATGGCCAACTTCCACAATGGCTACCAGTGATTCTTACCTCTTGGTATTGATTTTCTATAGTTCCTGCCCACATATGTGGACCTGTATAAGCAATAGGATTTTGCAGAAATGATGGAATGTGACCCCTGAAGCTAGGTCATAAAAGATATCTAGCTTCTGCCTTGTTTTCTCAAGGGTCATTGACTCTGGGGAATGCTGGCTGCCATGTCATGGAGAACTTGAGCAGCCCTATGGGGGACATCCATGTGGTGAAGAACTGAGGTGCCTCACCCACAGCTGGTACTGACTTGCCACTCATGAGAACGCACCGTTTTGGAAGCAGATCCTCCAGCACCAGTCAAGCCTTCAGATGACTGTAATGCCAGCTGTCATCTGACCTCATGAGAGACTCTAAGCCAGAACCACCCTTCTAAGCCATGTCAGAACTCCTGACCCAAAGTAACTCTGTGAGATAATAAATGTTAATTGTTGTTTTAAGCCATTAAGTTTGAGAGTCTTTTGTTATGCAGCCGAAGAAAACAAATACAGTTAAGCAGGATTTCCATGATGTTGTAATACGATGAGCCTTTGGGAAATACCTCACACTTTTTAGAAAGGAAGAGCAATGACATTCTGGCTGTTACCTCCCTATCAATTATTGGGACAAAATTCTGGAAGACCTAGAATAACCCTTTTCCCAATCATTTAGGCTCTGTCTTGTCACTCAGCAGAACAAAACAAACAACAAAAAACTTTCACTTTGGGATGTTTTCCTCAACTAACTGGAAGACCAGTGGTGACCTATACTAATATATGGCTTCCATAATTTCCTTTTCACCCACTGGTGATATAGGTACACTTCTCCCTTTACCTAATGTAAAAAGTTAGTTAGTATTACTTTAGTTTGGATTTATAATGAGAACAGGATGATGGGACCTGTGATCTGTCTAGGACTAAACCTCTGGCTGCAAGGACTACCAGATCACGTGGACAGAAGCTCTGGTTTTACCTAAGGGTTGGAGAAGGTAACTGTAATGCCCAGAGCATCATGTGGCCCATCTGTCAGCTTTCAGCCCATTTCCTGAGAGTCAATGAAATGACTGTTAAAATCCCACAAAGAAGGAAATCTCATAATCTCAGCAAGAAATGCTATTACATTAGTATTTTAATGTTTGCTTTGCTGCTATAAGTTCTGGCTGTATATTGAGAGAAAATTTGAGTTAACACCTCGAAGAGAAGGATGTATGAAATAAAATAAGATATTTAAAGATGCAACACTAAATAATATTAATAACATGATGATGTTTGGTTTGAATTTTCTCGAAAAAAAAAGGGATGAATAGATAAGTTTGATCACAAACTGCCAAGATGAATAAGGGAGGCTACATTTCCCTGAGCCTTGGAACAAGGATAATACAATATTGCTTTTACAGAGCGCTTTTCTTGGAAGAAGAGCTCATAAAACTTTATCATACATATATTTGCTCTGCTAATGTAATCATTTAATCTCCCTCCTGCTTTTGTGAAGGCATCTTTACTACCTCGTGGCAGGAACCCCAGACTAATTGTGTTTACAGAGAATGTCAAACCATCGTCTGGAAAGGCCTGATTTTCTGAGGGAATTCAACAATGAAAAACACCACATGATTTTTCTCTTTATCAAAAAACATTCTCAGGGTTTAATACAATTGTAACTGGTGTCCCTATGAAGCAATGACCATGTTGTGTTGATTAACCTTATCTGTAGTCTTCTCATTCATTCTCTTGGTCACACAGGCTGCCGTGGGAGAGTAAATACTGCCCCAGACCTTACCTTTTCACCTCTTCCTAATCTTCCTTCAGGGGCACCTAGCAACTGTCCTGTTCTAAGAACCCAGGTAAAAAGGGGAGGGGTGTGAACTCAGACAAAGCAGTCAGTTTTTTGACAAATATCAACCAAAAAGACAGAAGCGGGAAAACTTCATTCTGGGATCTTCCTCAAAGAACTTAAGCTAGCTTTTCAGGGTGCTGGACACAGCCTACCGGGGATGACACAATATCAAGGAAAAGTGTGATGCCCCCCATTTTATTCTTCCATTCTGCCCAGAGAAATGAGAACCAAGCACCCCCGTCTTCAGACAGAGTGCTGGGCTTGCAAAAGGGGAAGAGGCATATGGGCAAGACATCTTGCAGCTGTGGGGCAAGGACATCTGGCATTGTCTGGGCATTCACACACAGAGACCAGCTTTGGGGTGTACACTCCCAATCCCATTTGACTTTCTCACATGAGATGCCTTTCAGTTGATATTGAGACTTTATCCTTTTAAAAGTTAATGAAAAGAGAGAAGAAATACAATTAGTATCAGTTTAGGGGCCAAGAGAGCATTTCCAAAGCCAATGCTCAAATGTCTCCAGTAATTATTGTCTAGTTCTCTCTCCTGATAGAACTGGTTATAGCTCTCGATCTGATTGGAATTCCATGGCCATGCCTTTCCCCCTCACGTCTTGATGGAATCCCAAAGGGTTCAGTATGTGGTTACTTGAATGGATGGATGAATGGATGGATGGATGAATGAATAAACAATTTTTCACATGCAATATATCATTTCATCCTCTGAACAATCTGTTGAGATATGAAAGTCAGGTATTTCTCTTCTTTTAAACAGATGTGCAAACTGAGGTGCAAAGGGACCTAATGATGTCTCAAGGTTACCTGGAAAATGAGTAACACTGATTGAGAACTCACAATGCTCTTTCTTCCCTGGAAGGAAAGATGAGAAACAAGGTAAGTGACCAATCTATAAACTATGTCTTTATTGTGTATGATTTTAGTAGAGTCATTTAATTAGCAAGTAGTTAGCCCGCTTCCTTAGCTTGCGTGGCCTCCTCCCCTGCCCTTTCTGTTCCTCCAACATATTCCCAGTGTTCCCAGGCTTTCACAGTCCAACAGAACCAGTTTTTTCCATGGCTACATGAAACCCACCTACATGAAACCCACCAGTGGAAGTTAACCTCTCCCCCCCAGCCCAGGACAACTTCCCTAATGCTGTACATGCTTTTTCATCCTGCCTCATCTTCTCAACTGGATGGTCAGCCCCATTCCTGGGTCCGTTGCAGTACTCATGGCCCCAGCCTTGTCTCTATGGTCGTTCCCACCACCACTCAGAAAAGCCTAGCTGGAGGAGATATTTGTATCAATTATGTCGGATCAAAAACAAGACCACCCCAAAGGTTGCTCCTGTCCCTATGATACATGGAGGGATCAGGAAATCAGGTAATGTGGGAGAATGATTAGAGTGTAGATAATCCACCTTGGGTTTTACTAGTCCTGGACACTGTGTTATTACTTCTTTGGCTGGTTCCTTCCTCCCCCCATCCCTCCAGGCACAGGGTAACTACATAGCAATGGAATTGATTTTTTTTTTTTCATTCATTTAAATGAAAGACTTTCCTTCAAAGTACTTTCTTATTCTAATGACATCCTCATTATTCAAAATGTATTGATATCTCTTCTGGCATATTTTTTCATTGCTGTTGAATATTCTTTTGTATAATTCTTAATGGTGGCAATTTTTCATCACTTAGGGTGGGTTTGGCCCTGGCTATTTGGCCAGATAACAATAACAATGTAAATGTATGGAGTGTTTTAAAGGTTTGGAAAACTATGACATCCTTGATGTTAATAGTCAAAATTAAGATTGCCAACTAAAGGAGGTGGTAAGTATTGTTTGGGTGGAAAATTTGACATGATAACAAAGGAAAGAGACTTCTTGTGCAGTTCCAGGATGGCCCAAAATCAAGTCCTTGCACCTAGTTTTAGACGAGATTTGGGCAATGGTGGTCTCATTGGTCTGCTAAGGTGATTGTTTTGAAGGAATTGATTCAGATGCATTCATTCCAATGTGCTAGTTATTAAAAATCACAGCCATTGTGTTAGGGGCTTTCAACAAACAGTCACAAAGTACCGATGAAGTGTTAGGTACCAGAGTCATAAAAGCAGGTACAGGGCTCCAATGTCTGGATTTGCAATCTAATTGGGGGGCAAATGCAGTACTGTAACAGGTGCAGGAATAGAGGTATATGGGGCCAAATGACCCAAAGGAAGGAGCTGTCACATCTTTGGAGGTTAATGGGGCAGAAGGGTATCAGGAAAAACTTCACAGAATTAGCACCAACCCTCACAACCACCCCCAAGGTTAAATATCAGTATCCCCATTGTGCAGATCAGAGAAGTTACAAGGCTAGACAAGTTCACACAGCTATGAAGAGTGAGAAAGAGTGAGAATACCAAAGATATTTTCCCTTTGCTTGGTTCATTGGACCTAATTGCACTCAGGTACTAAATCCCAGGGTTTGGGGGAGCTGCAGGCTTCAGTGTAGACATGGCCAAGTCCAAGAAGCACACCACACACAACCATTCACAAAAGATGGCATAGAAATAGCATCAGGAAAACCCTGGTCACAAAGATATGACTCTCTTAATGGGGTAGACCCCCTGAAGAGCATGTGCTTTGCCAAGAAGCACAACAAGAAGGGACTGAAGAAGATGCAGGCCAACAACACCAAGGCCTTCAGTGCACAAGGCTATCAAGGCCCTCATCAAGCTGAAGGAGGTCAAGCCCAAGATCTCAAAGGGTGGCAGCCACAAGCTCAGTCAACTTGCCTACATCACTCGAGGCTCTGTCTGGCAATGTGAGGATGGAAGTACAGGTGTGACTCCTGGGGCTGGTGTCCTCCTGTGCTATTTGTACAAATAAACCTGTGGCAGGATCTGTCAAACAAAACAAAACAAAACAAAACAAAACAAAACAAGGGTTTGGATCTGGTTCTCCCTGAAACCCAACACAATGCTCTTCCCCCCAAGAATGCCGCCTTCCTCTTCTTGAATGATCAGCTTTGTTTTGTTTTAACTCTATAGGAATGCTTTAACTGAAACAACGCACCTAGGACAGTCCCTGGCCCAGCAACCAGAGGGAACTTGGCAGGGACTCTGCGTGTTAGTCCCTGTGAGGCCTTGGGAGATCACTTCACCTTCTAGGTTCCTGTTTCCTCACCTAGAAGAAAGGGTGTGGTATAGGGACTAAACTCAGGTGAGGGGTCACAACCTGAGTGCGCCTGGATGTACCATAAGTAAGCATAGGGTAGGGATTTTGGCCTCTGGAAGTGCAATGAACAGTTGCTTCTCAGTTGTTCCCATGGAGGAATGGGGCCAGAGCCTCCAGTTTTTCAAGAAAATCTCTCAAACTTTATTTTTATTTGAAATCTCCTCATTTTTAAGTATTGACAACAAATTCAACTTAAAACAAACAAAGAAACAAAAACACCATGCAGGTCAAAGTTGTGTCCATCACGGGGACCCATCTGGCCACCAGTGTGCAACATCTGGATTCCATGACATTTGAAGCGTCTTCTAGCTCTAGAATTTGGCAATTAAGTGGAAGTTGCGTGTTTCTTCCTTGTAAAGTGGCAGATACAATAGGAAGAATAAAACCTAGGTGTCTTCTGTCTTTGAGATAATGCTGGTGAAGGCTGAGCCTTATCACAGGTGACAGACATCCTCTAGCTGATGGATTTTTCTCTATCTTTGCAAAAAGCCTGTAGCCAAGCTCCTCCTTTCATGTTTAACATGGCCACCCCACCTCAGGCTCCCATCGGGCTGAAGGCGACCATGTCAGCTGATGACCTTTGTCATCCCCTAGTGCCTTCAGGTATGTTAATGAGGAGATTTACCTTCCAAACTGGGCAGATAAGATATACTGTCACAAAGCAGATATGTGCAGTAAAGTCTTAGTTATAGAGGAAGGTGATGTTCTGGAAATATTTTGTAAAAAAAAAAAAAAATGTAAGTATGAGAAGGGTCATCAGATAATATCAGCTTTTACAGATTGGGGCTGCTCAGAAAGGAGTCTATAAAACACTCTTTACAGAGACTCAAAGGAGTATTGATTTTTTAGGAGCAGAAGGGGTCAAAATTACATCCCTTGCACAACGGCTGCCTCTGCTCCTCCATCCGGACCTTTTAAACAAAGAACAAAGTCAGGAAAAGGCAGAGGGATAGAGCTAGAAAGAGGGACAAAGAGGAAGGCATTGTCTGGTCCCTAAAAACCTTCCCCAGGCCACAGCACTGAGGCAGGGTGAGTCTCTTCAGGAAAACTGGAGCCTGGTTTCATGTTGTGACTGCTGCAGTTGACAGCCACCTCTGGGGACAACGCTTTGTGTCTGTAGAAAGACAGTGGGAAAGGTCACAGCAGGGCAGGCAGTGGTCTGATGAGACTGGCAGCCAAAGATTTCTCAGGTTGGTTCACCTGCTCCTGCAAGTACATAAAATACCCAGAAGTCGCCAGACATGTTCATCCTCTGGCAGCATCATGATGAAATTGGCATTGTAGGATCCTGATGGCCTTTATGACTGGAATATGTATGCCTTTTGATCCAGAAGGATAGGCACATAGAAGGGAGAAAAGGGTCATTCTGTCGTGCCATTGCAAAAGGTGATCCAGCACCAGTGTTCACAGTGTTGGCCTGTGAGAGGCCCCTGGCCTGAGGGGCAGGAGAAGACTTCTTTAGGAAGGAAGCAGGATTTATAAATCAGAAGAAGACCTTTTTTCCTCGGGGTCGCAGCCAGGAAGATATTAGCATGAGTGGTTAAACAAAGAAGACTGGGGTTAGCAACAAAACTGGAGAAGCATGATACCTTAATTCTTGCTACTCACTGGAAGTGAGGAGATTCTATTCTTAGCACTTTCTCCCTTCCAGGTCTGACCAGTTGATAATGAGACCCAATCTGCCTAGAAAAGGATCAAAATATTAGCCTCTTCACCAAAAAGTGTAAGGCTGGTTGGGAGAGTCCTGAAGGGCTTCCTTCCTGCCTCCCAAATTGGAAGTGACATTCCCAGAACTGGGTCCTGGGAAAGTGGAAGAGGAAACATGCTGTAGTTGCGGGTTTAGGGAAGCCAAGAAAAATGGGTTGCATTTCACTGGGGTGATCTTGCTCCTGGAAGATGTGGCTGGACGGATATCAGGCTCCAACTGATCCCATCAACAAGTTCTGAAGAGGTAGAGATGAGACCAAAAGAGTTCCCTCTAATACTGCTCCACAACATGAAAACTTGAGGGAGAAGAAGATAAATGTTTCCCCACCCTTCACATGCATGCTATGGAGCAGAGCTGGGCCCCTGCACAGGTCAGGGCCAACTCAAAAGGCACTGAGCTATAAAGTTAGATACCAGCTGAAAACAAAGCAGGTTCAGTAGGCCAGTCACTCATGCTGCCTACTGACAAGTGAAGTTAACCAACATGACCCTGACAAGCAAAGGGAGCCATGAGAATTTAGGTCTCAGGTGCTAGAAAAGAAACCCAGGAGAGGAAAGATACAAAAGACAAGCGGAAGGGATGGCTGCAGTGGCGCAAAAACCTTCAGCCCTAGCAGAGGTTTCTTTTGAAAGCCCACAGTTTGACCCTTACAAGTGTCTTGGTGATTCTTTTTCCAAAGACTGAGTCTCCAAGCTGCATATCTGGACACGGACCGGGGTGTAGATATGAGGGAGCCCAGAAGTGAAAGACCAGCCTGCGGTGGCCAATGACCAGGGAAGCTGTAAGCATAGAAAGACACGAGCAACAAGGAAGGAGGTAGGAAGATGCATGGGGATCACAGACTGTGGGAAGAATGGGTTGGGACCAGGTGAGAAACCTCTAGAACTGAGAATAGTGAGCTTCATGTGGTGGCTGTAGGGGAAAAATTCTCACCTGGATAAGAACTTCCCACACACTGAGCTTCTAAGAATT